GGGCGGCTAGAGTCTGGAACCAGCTTCCAAGTGAGGTGGTGCAGGCTCCCACCCTGGGGGTTTTTAAGAGGAGGTTGGATGACCACCTTACTGGGGTCATTTGACCCCAGTGCTCTTCCTGCCATGGCAGGGGGTTGGACTAGATGATCTGCTCAGGTCCCTTCCGACCCTAGAAACTATGAAACTATGAAATTGTCTTGCCCAGTAATGCTTATAGAGATGCTGCATGAGTGTTGGGGGCTATTCTGATTTAGCCTCTTGTGCTTATTTTCCACTAGGAAATAGTAATCCTTTTACGTTGACATCACAGTGGAATTGCTGTGGGAACAGAATGGGGCTGTGATGTCACAGGTTTCTTACTATGGGTGTTTGGAGGAGCTATAATTTTATTTCTACGTAGATACAGTACAAATGAAGGAAGAAAGCTACTCTGGGAATCTGACACAGGCCAATGTGACTCCACCACATTTAGTATGAATATTGATGATCTTGAAATGCTGATTCTCCCCTGCCTCCCCCACCCTCTTTTCACCTTTCCACATTTTGGCTGCTACCCTAGCAAATAGCTGAACATCATTTCTATTTGGGCATGAACTGTGCATTAACTGTCTGAGATACTGGCCCATCCTGCTGGAGCCAATTTGCAACAGACTCTGCCACTGCTGGCCTATTGGCATGCCTAGTGCTGGGCCCTGATTTCCTGTCAGCCAGGGTTGGGGCAGTTGCATTCTCCACTGGAATGCTGTCTACATGCAGTTGTGAAGGGCTGTGAAATACAAGGCATCTGTTGGTGTCAAGGGCAGCTTGATAGAAGTTCTGGTCAGCAGCCAGGGCTGTCTGCTGCAGCTGGTGATCTGCCCTTGAGGAGGCTCTCTGCAGGCAGGGGGAGAGCATTAGCAGAGGACTGGACAACATCTGAGACCCGGGAAGTAGCACATCGAATACTATTTTTTGCAAGTTCCTTTACAATGTGTGAATTGGCCCCATAAGCTCAGTGCTATCAGACTGACAAGACAGAAGTATGATCAGAGCATTCCTGATTCTGTGCTGCATTTGCTTTTGTTGAGTTCTTTCATCCTGGTTTGGATGGGTCAGGTCTCAACATGGTTTGTTTTCTGTCTGCCTGAGCCCCTGGCTGCAGTGACTCAAGTTGCCCTAACAGTATGCAGCATGCATGAGCTCCAGAAGCCAGGCCTTCTTAGTGACCAGCATCTGTTCGTGACAAGCTGACTTTGCCCTCCCTACAGACAGGGCCCTAGTCACTGAAGATTTTTCACAGTTCAGATGAGGAGGCAGTATGAGAAGTGTTGTTTAGCTGTTAACTTTTATAGCTATGTTGTTATTTATAATTATTACTTTACAGATAGAAACTAACCCTTTTGCAGTGCTTCTTCATGAATACTCCCACGCTATAGAGGGAGAAACTGAAGATGATGATGATGATATTTGTGTTGCAGCAGTGCCTAGGAGCTCTAGCCATGGACCGTTATGTTGGGTGCTGTACAAACACAGAACATAAAAATGGTCTTTTTTTCCCCAAGGAACATATCATCTAAGTATATCATAGCAGACAACAGATGGATGCAGGCCAGCAGATGAAGGAATATAAGAAAATAAGAAGACATTGTTGGTCTCCTAACACCTGCTGCATAACCTTTGGCAAGGTGTCTATAGGCATCACAAAAATAAGTTTTAAGGAGGACCCTGAGGCAAATTTTAAAGGGATTTACCAAAGGTCACTTGGTTAAAGGTCTTCAGGAGATCTGGGGTTACAGCTGGGGGAAGGAATGCTGGCTCCCAGCTTCATGCTCAGACCACTAGATCAGTCCTACCTCTAAGCTGCTGTACATGTAGTACTTTGGAGATAGGATGTGGCAGGCATCACCCTTACAGAAAAGAGCGAGAGACAGCTCTCTTATAGAAAGATGCAGTTTAGGAAAACAGGCATTTTACAAAAAGTTCATGCAGCCTGTGTAGTACACAGTCCTGGGTTTTCCAAATATTGGTTTGTAAATAAAATCTTTTGTTGACCTTTCAGTGCAAAAAGAGCAGGACACATTTGCAGAAATGTTCTTAATACACAAGTGCTGGTTTTTGACCAGGTACAGGGCAGAAAATGAAATTTCAGTTGACAAAAAGGGAAAGTTCAAAGATGTTCTTGGTTTTCCTATTACCACCTTGCTCTAGTCCTGGCCTATGGCCACCAACAGAGAGCTAACTACCAGAGTGCAGCTGCCTTAAAGGGACGAGTTTAGATGACATACTTGTGCTGTGCAGCCTAGGTGACTGTTACCACAAAAGGCTCTTTTTGAGACTGTCATGATGAAGACTGTGTTGCCATTTGCAGGATGGGTTGCAAATGACAGAGGGGATATTTAGTTCACCAGTGTTCTCTTTTTCTATCTTCAGCTTTGGACACAACCAAAGACCCCTGCCAGAAAGTGAAATGTAGCCGGCACAAGGTTTGCATTGCCCAGGGCTACCAGAGGGCCATGTGCATTAGCCGCAAAAAGCTAGAACACAGGTAAGAGGGAGCCTGGAATCTGTGCAGGCGTTTTGAATGACATTGTTCCTGTCACAGCTTATCATGTTGAAAAGGTTGGAACTGTTCTTATCTTTCCTTGTTTGCCTCCTTTGTAATACTCCACTTGTCCATCAGGATAGATGATATGCCAACTTCCTGTGCCTATTCCTATATTCCTAAAACACAGTGACGTGTGAACAATATCACTTAGCAAACAGTGCTATAGAGGGGCAAGGCCATGGCAGGTCAAGCAGGGAGATGTCATCTGTTTTGACAGGAACAGACTCAGACAGATGCTGCCATGTTATTAGTCCATCAATTTGAACTCAGTTCCTGAGCTGATTGTTCTTTGCAATAACCTTCTTGACTTCTAAAATAGAAGAAACTTCTTATTGGTTTCCTAATTCTTTCCTCTCTGTGTGTGCTTCTTTGCTGCACATACATGTGTTTATTATTGTAGGGTTGTCTATAAATGGGTAGTAGCTGGGAATGTTTTTGTTCTAGAAACACATGGGAACAAAGCCATATCATTGCCACAGCTGGCACTAGCTAGTTGCCCTGGACTCGGGAATCCAGGTCAGGTTCTTCTCAGCCTTACTCGTGAGACAGACTGCAGGAGCCTGGCACTAGTGAAGATGTTAATTAACACAGCTGCAGCTTGGACAGGATTTATCACTTGAACTTCACCTTGTAACAGGTGGATTCTTACATGAGCCTGCAATGTCAGAGATGAAGGAAGAGCACACAAAGGGCTCCAGATTCCCTGTGGACAGGATGGGCTGATGAGCAGATGTTTCCTAACCTCCCTACACCCCATACTTTAAAGTTCCTGGTTGATTCTGTTGCAGCCAGCAGTGTGTTCTGGGTGCAGCTGTTTTAGCTGCTGCTGGGTCTCAGTGACGGAGCCCTCCCTGGGATGGGAACATGCACTAGTAGAGGCACAACAATGTGTGGGAGCTACCAACTATAATAATGTAAAATCCTCACTGTCAGCAAAGCAGTGGCATGGGACCAGCCTCTTTAGCCCACAACTAAACAGGAAAACAAAAAGTGTTGAGCCTAGGCTGGAATAATGCTTCAAGCATTGGTTGGAGCACAGAGAGCAGAAGTGTTTTGGAGTCAGGAGCTCTCAATGGAGTAACGTCTTCTCTCTTGAACTTGCATCATGCTGTGGGCTGGTCAGTACTTCTAGCTGCACCAGCTGAGCATGGGTCAGGAGAGAGGCCCCAAGGCAGACTGGCTCTTCCAGAACCCTGTGCAGCTACAGCCGCTAATATTGTGTCTTTCCCCACTTATTTTCCAATGTTCTTTAGAAATGACCCAATTCTTGTACACATTGTTCCCTTGGGGATTGCTGGGCCACCTCCCACTTGCTTCCCCTTGCACCCTGAAAACCCGGGTGTGCAAAACCAGCTCCAGGATCACTTGGGCTTTGGTTATAAACCTGTTGCTTCAAAGGTCACTTCTGTTCCTCTCGCACCCTGTCCCTGGTCCCAGTGTGACAGGCAGGTGGACAGCTGCCTGCCAAATGAGGATGATTTGCCCCAGAGTGATAGGAGTGGCTGACTTCTTTGGGGAGCTGAAAAGCGGACACCTCCATCCCATGCTGTCAGGGAGCAGACAGCTTGGGTTAAACCTGCCTAACACATCTCCATCTCTCTCTCTTTCCCGTGGTTAGAATCAAGCAGCCTGCGCTGAAACTCCATGGAAACAAAGAGAGCTTTTGCAAGCCCTGTCACATGACTCAGCTCGCATCTGTCTGTGGCTCCGATGGACACACTTACAGCTCTGTGGTGAGAGAGGAAACAAGACTTGTGTTAAGCGGGGTGCGTAGGTGGGTGTACCAGGGTAGCCTGGCATGGTTTCTAGCGTAGAACAAAGTCCTGCTGTGCCGCTTGGGTGTGTGCTGGCACTTGGTTGATGGTGCTCAAGACTCTAGCTCTGACAATTCTCTAGCAGCACGGAGGCACAGGAGCAATTGAGGAATTTGGCTTAGTTGTGGGAGGGGTGACGTGTGCTCCTGAGAAGGCACTGGGAATCACAGGCCAGTTCCCTGCACTGTGACTGCAGTTTATTCAAAGGAATACACAAAATCATCTGTATCCTCCCCCTCAACACACCCACACCTGTGCCACACCACAGCCACAAAGCACCCTCTTGAAAATAAAATCCTCACAATTTGCCACAAGGAAAGAGCAGCAGAGAAAAGGTGCCATCAATGGTTTGCTACTGCAATAGCAGGGAATTTGTTAGGTTAATGTATGTTCAGACGATTCTAGGGAGAGGACTATGCCACATGCTACAGAGGAAGGCAAAAATCCCCAAGTCTTTGAATATAGCAATCTGATCTTTGTGTTCCTATGTAGATAGTGGGTTGCTTTCATCTGGGGTCATGCTTGCTCCCTGGTGAGTCATGGGAGCTTCTCTGTTTAGCATCATGTGTGGTTTGGGTAGCATGACCTGCCAAACGCTCAGAGCAGAGTCTGGCCTCCTGCACTCACTCTTCTTTCTCTGTCTCTCAGTGCAAACTGGAACAGCAAGCCTGCCTGACCAGCAAGCAGCTGATGGTGAAGTGTGAGGGCCAGTGCCCCTGCCCCACTGAGCACAGCCCCACTTCAACCACAGATACCAAGCAAGGTAGGAGGGAGGCTTTGGGTAGTGGTGGCTTTGCCTTAGTTGTGGGTGCCAGAATGAACAAGAAAAGCACATGCCCCTTGGAGGGGGGAGCAATAGGAGAATAAAGGTGCTAGCACTGCTGGCCTTCAGTAAGACAGCGGGGTAGGGCAGGCTACCGCCCTCAGACAGGAGCATAGCTGGGTGTGTGTATGCAGGCACCCCCAGCCTTCTACATCAGGGGGAGTGGAGCCCAGCTGCTGGCCCTGGAGTTGGCATCAATGGTAGCATTTGAATTTTTGTTTCCCAGGGACAAGTCTCCAAAGAAGCAGGTAGCACTAGAGTATGTAGGGCCTATTGGAGCTTGGTGTGCTGTCCTGCCCCTGCATGTTAGGTAGCTGGGCTAGTGCCTGATAAATGATCAGTAGCAAGAGTCTGAGGGAGAGAAGTAGCACAAAGGAGAAAGATATGGCTGGCTGTCGCTCATTGCATTCACTGGAGCTGGACTAGGGCTGGGGACTGAGTCAGCAGCATCAGTGCAGGGTGTTAATGGAGACAGTTAAGAAGAAAAGAAAGTGAAGGAGAGAGGAAGGGGGAGTGCAAGAGATGGGTGGGGGAGGAAAGATGAGCATATGAAGGACTACACACGCAGGAGCCAGATGAGGTAGGAATCATTGAGGAAAGGGACCTGTTGAGAGGGAAGTTGCGGAAGAGCAGGCTGAATCTCCAGCCCGGGTGCCTATGAGAAGGAGCAGGGCTTGGAAGTGGGCAAGGACACAGAGCAAAGTGCGTTGTCTGCTGATAAGGTCTCCAGGAGGAGTGTGCTAGAAAGACATTTAAAGACCACTGGCAGGCTTCTGGGTCTGGCTGTTGGGCCTGCTCAAGGATAGGATGACCTGCTTCCCCCACTCCCAGTACCATGGTTTTGTCTTGTCTTGCATGGAGTAAATTGGCCACTTCCCATCCTGTCTCAGCCTCCACTTCCATCCTTCCTTCCCTCACCATTGGCTTGGACACTTGCTTAATGTTTTACATGTTAATTTTCAGACACCTGCACTGGGCAGGATTTGGCAGACCTGGGGGACCGTCTGCGGGACTGGTTCCAGCTCCTGCATGAGAACTCCAAGCAGAATGGTTCTGGAAGCCCAGGGACCAATCCAGTCAATGGTATGGAAACAACAGACTGTCCATTCATGAGTGCACAAGTGTCTAACTCCTGCTGGTTGTGGGGAGGGAGGAGCAGTGGTCTGCAGTGAATAGAGTCAGATTCTCAGCTGGTGTAAATCAGTGCAGTGGTTTGGATGTGAGCAGAGCTTGCTGACTTGCAGCAGCTGAGGAGCTGGGACTTTGGCCCCAGTTCCTCTATTCAGAGAATAACAGAAAATTAGGGTTGGAAGGGACCTCAGAAAATTATCTAGTCCAACTCCCTATCCAAAGCAGGACTGTCCCAAACTATATCATCCCAGTCAAGGCTTCCAAGGATGGAGATTATACAACCTATCTGGGTAACCTGTTCCAGTGCTTTCCTACCCTCCTCATGAGAAAGTTCTTTCTAATATCTAACCTAAACTTCCCTTGCTTCAACTTGAGCCCATTGCTCCTTGTTCTGTCATCTGTCACCACTGAGAACAGTCTAGCTCCATCCTCTTTGGAACCCCCCTTCAGGAAGCTGAAGGCGGCTGTTAAATCCCCTCTCAGTTTTCTCTTCTCCAGACTAAATGAGCCCGGTTCCCTCAGCCTCTCCTCAGAGTCATGTCCCCCAGTCCCCTCACCATTTTTGTCACCCACTGGTGGACTCTCTCCAATTTGTTCACATCCTTTCTGTAGTGGGGGGCCCACAACTGGACACAGTACTCCAGATGTGGCCTTACCAGTGTTGAATAGAGGGAAAGAATCACTTCCCTTGATCTGCTGACAACACTCCTACTAATGCAGCCCAGTATGCCATTAGCCTTCTTCACAGTAAGGGCACACTGTTGGCTCATATTCAGTTTATTGTCCACTGTAACCCCCAGGTCCATTTTAGCTAACTGGTCTCCAGCCTGTACCAGTGCATGGGATTATTCCATCCTAACTACAGGACCTTGCACTTCTCCTTATTGAACCTCATGAGATTTCTTTTGGTCCAATCCTTCAATTTGTTAAAGTCTCTCTGAAGCCTAGCCCTACCATTCAGCATATCCACTGCTCCCCCCAGCTTGGTGTCATTCGCAAGCTTGCTGAGCGTGAACTCTATCTCATCTTCCAGGTCATTGATGAAGATATTGAACAAAACCAGCCCTGGGACTGACTCCTGGGGCACTCCACTTGATACCAGATGCCAACTAGACATTGAGCCATTGACAACTACCGTCTGAATCCGATGATCCAGCCAGTTTTCTGTCCACCTTACAGTCCACTCATCCAGCCTGTCCTTCCTTAGCTTGCTTGCAAGAATATTGTGGGAGACTGTATCAAAAGCCTTGCTAAAGTCAAGGCATATCACATCCACTGCTTTCCCTGCATCCACAGAGCCAGTCATCTCATCATAGAGGGCCATCAGGTTAGTCAGGCATGACTTGCCCTTGGTGAACCCATGTTGACTGTTTCTAATCGCCTTCTCTTCCAAGTGCTTAGAAATGAATTCCTTGAGGATGTGCTCCATGATTTTTTCCAGCAACTGGAGTGAAGCTGACCGATCTGTAGTTGCCTGGATCCTCCTCCTTCCCTTTCTTAAAGATGGACACTATATTTGCCCTTTTCTAATTGTCCAGGACCTCTCCCAATCACCGTGAGTTTTCAAAGATGATGGCCAGTGGCTCTGCAATCACATTGGCCCTCTAACACCCTTTGGGTGCATCCTGTCCGTCCCCATGTACTTGTACATGTCCAGCTTTTCTAAATAGTTCTTAACCTGTTCTTTTGCCACTGTTGGCTGCTCACCACCTCCTCCCCAAAATGTGCTGCCAGGTGCAGTAGTCTGGGAGGTGACCTTGTGAAGACTGAGGTGAAAAAGGCACTGAGTAATTCAGCCTTTTCCATCTCATTTGTCAATAGGTTGCCTCCCCTGTTTAGTGAGACTTGCACTTTCCCTGATCTTCCTCTTGTTGCTGAAATACTTGTAGAAACCTTTCTTATTACCCTTCATATCCTTTGCTTGCTGGAACTCCAGCTATGCTTTGGCCTTCTTGATGTCATGCCTGCATGCCTGAGCAGTGCTCTTATACTCCTTCCTAGTCATTTGTCCAAGCTTCCACTTCTTGTAAAGTTCCCTGCTAAGCCAAGCTGGTCTTCTGCCATACTTGCTAGTCTTCCTGTGTATCAAGATGATTCCTATCTGCACCCTCAGTAAGGTTTCTTTAAAGTACAGGTAGCTCTCCTGGACTACTTTCCCCCTCAGATTTGCCTCCCCAGGGATCATGCCCATCAGTTCCCTGAAGGAGTCAAAGTCTGCTTTTCTGAACTCCAGGGTCTGTACTCTGGTGCTCTCCTTCTTTCCATTCCTCAGGATCCTGAACTCAGTCATCTCATGGTCACTGCTGCCCAAGTTGCCATCCACTACTACATTCCCCACCAGTTCCTTTCTGTTTGTGAGCAGCAGGTCAAAAAGAGCATGGCCGCTAGTTGGCCTCCAACGGGTGTACCAGGAAGTTGTCCCCAACACTCTCCAAAAACTTCCTGGATTCAAGATGCAAACTAGAAGTGGATCAGTGTCTCCTCTCCAATGGGAGGTGCAGATCATTGGGCTGGACAGGAAGCATGCCAGTACCCTCCCTGAAAGAGAGAGAGAAACTGAGCTTTTTGTGCAGGCCTGGACTGCGTGTGCTGGCAGACATGCCTAAGAGTCTTCTCTGTGGGAGTTCTGCTGTTGGAATACTTATTCACTAACATCAGTGGCTTGAATTTCTAGTGGACTATCCCATTCATCAGCATGAGCTGTGCTTGGTTGGTTTGTTTGACATGCTTGGTACCTTGTTCAGCACCTATGCCCTTTATTTAGATAAGCCAAGTGCAAATAAAGCCCATGGATGTCACATGTGTTGTGTTAGCAACAGAAGGTAGAAGCAAGGAGGGGGCCTGTGGTGGAGATCAGTGTCCTTGGGAGAGGATGGGAAAACAATGTACAATAGAGCACAGTCACAGTGCTGCCTCTCCATGACATCAGCCTCACAGCTGGCATCCCAGAGGTGCTGCCCAGGCCTAGCAGGAGTTGCCCCCCTAAATCTTTAACTTATCGCATTGATTTGAAGTCCCCCAGAGACTGTGCACACTTGGAGAATCAGATATAATGTATCGTTGCTCTGCTACCCGCTTGATCCTCCAGTGCTGGAGTGGGAGTTTCCAGTGCAAGAAGCTCTGTGGAGGTGCTTCCACTTACTTTGCTGGATTAGAGATTCACCTAAGCAGGGGAAATTCTCCAAGCATTTTTGCTTTCCACACAGTTGATGTGAACCTGGTGGCCCAAGAAGCTGGTCCATAATCTGAGCAGGAGAGAACGTTGTTCTGGGGTATAGTTTCATAAATGTCAGGGTGAATAGTATATACTTAAATGGGACTTGTTTATCCCATTGTTGGCAGAGTTTGTACTGTGGCACTGCCAGCTCTTTTGACCTAAGCAGGGTTGGATCAGGACATTATTTGGAAAGAAGACATCTGTGCATGGACTGGGGCTGGTGATTCGGGAGGTGGCCTTCTTCCATCTTGGGGTTAGTTGGTATGGGATGGCTTGAGGCATTCTTCCTATGACCTCCCACTGTGCTCCTGACTCTTGATCCCTGATGATCCTTTTAATACAAATAGGCATGCGAACCCAGGAATCCTGGTCAATGTTATCTCAGATTATTTCTTTCTGCTTTGTAACCCCTTCCCCCTGGAGTTTCAGTTGGATGCATTGGAAGCTAACCTGCTGTGTAGCAGTGCTGTATTTTGCTCATTGGCTTTTGTGTTCTACCTCATTTCACAGTGATTGAGTGATTACATATATATATATCTACGTGCATAATTATATATTTAAATCTCTGGTGACAATGTTTGGTGGCAGTATCTTTGCTTAGACTTTTCTCACAATTCCTGTAATAGGTGGAGCTCAAATCAGTGTATCCAGTGGAGTGTATCTTAATGCATGTGCCATTATTAACCTGCTGCCATTTGACTGGCTTGGAAAACACCCCAGGGGTATGTTATGGTCACTTAGAGAACCTTTGATATAGGGAGGGAATAGTTTTCAATGGAAGCAGGGCTTTTCTTAGTGGCTGAAGTCTCCTTTGTATAAAAGTCAATTTTTAAGAGCCCTAATCGTGTGGTTGGAGTTAGATACATTGGTGCTAGATGCACCTGGCTGGGTGGGACACACAGGAGAGGTCTCCCAGAGTGGGCATTTGTGAGTGAGCACATACAAAGGGAGGCAGACACTGCACTCTGCTTATTCAAACCAAGTCCCTTGTCTCCTGACTGGTGGCTGAAGTTGGTCCCAGAGCACATGTGGAGTGTGAAGTGAGCGTGGCTAGGAGGAATGTAGGTAGTTTAAATGTCAGCGAGCAGGGCTGTCTGAGCTGAGTGCTCCCCCAGGGCACTGCATACGATGCAGTCGACAGCTGGAGCTGAGTTTGAGGCAGACGCTCCTGCCAGCTCTCTCTGTGAGCTTTCCTCCTTCAGCTCTGCTAATCGGAACAGCAGGCTGTGTTTGTTTTTTCCCTGCTGCTAGAAAGCCCATCCAGAGCCAGACTGGCAGCTGCTTCATACCCTCTGCGACTGGGGAAAGGGAAGTTGGATTCGGAGCATGTGCTGCCTGGGGACCCAGACCTGGTTTCCTTAGAGCTGCATGGATTGGTGTGTGTCTGGCAGGGATTACAGGAAGCACAGCAGGGTGGCACCTGCTGGAAAGTACTTGCACTTCCCAGTCCTACTTTGTCCAGGTTTTGTGCTCTGCATCCCACCTACTGTGTTCATTTCATCAGGGTGGTGTGATTCCCCAGGCCATTGTCATGTGAGGACAATGTATCAACCTGAGACCTCTTCAGCAAAGGTGTCTCAGAAGTGCCAGTGACAAAATCTGGCCAGTGTATGAAAATAAAGGGTGGTTGCTGACCTGGCTCTCCCTGTGTGGTGCTTTCTGAAAGAGAGCCTGACCTGCGGATGGAAAAGCTTAGCTCAGGGGGAAAGCAGCTGATGGTTTTGAAAACTGCTCCTCAGAAGGCCCCGTCCTTTGTATTTTTCCCCCCATTAATTTTTTTATCCTGAATCTACTGATTGTACATGAAGAGCAGTATGAGTGTGAACACTGGTGACATGCCCCCTTCCAGGAGGCTAGGCTGGCTAAGAGGACCTGTGCATGACGCTGAAGGCACATTTGATTTGTATCTCACCCTTCTCTCTGCCCTTCCTTGTGTGTCCTCACAGTACTGGACAAGAGCCTGGTAGCCAGCTGCAAGGATTCTATTGGCTGGATGTTTTCCAAGCTGGACACAAACAGTGACCTCTTCCTGGATCAGACAGAGCTGGCAGCTATCAACCTGGACAAGTATGAGATCTGCATCCGGCCCTTCTTCAACTCCTGTGACACTTACAAGGATGGACATGTTTCCACAGCAGAGTGGTGCTTCTGCTTCTGGAGAGAGAGTGCGTCCCCACCAGGTTTCCTTGAGAGAGAATAATGTGCTGTAATGGGCTTTCAGTCAGCTCATTCAAGTAATTGGGGACCCCACAAAATGTTGGCCCTTTTCTGTGAACCCCCAAGGGCCCACCTTGCTTAAGAAATGTACAGCAAGGAAGGCTGTCTAGGACTTGTCTCTGCAGCACAGTTGTGGGTTAGAAATATCTAAGGCATTGTCAGTAAAGGCTTCTCACCACTCCTGCTGTATTCCTTACTCCCTCTCACCTGAGCCAGGATTGGTGATCTTGAAGGTACCGTGTAAAGCACGCATGTTCAGGCAGGCTGTTAATGGAGTTGTGGGATGACAGCATAGAGCAACTACCAGGCAGCAATAGTAGCAGTTTTCCTAAGAACAGTTGTCATTTGACTGCCCTGTGTAAGTTACATTTTAAAATGTTGTGAGGCAGCTAGATGCTGTGGCAAAGGTGTGCAGTCACATACACACTGCTATAAATAAACAGAGTGAGCAGCAGAGAGCTGAGTGTAGGCAAGAGGATACACCTACAGGTAACACTTCTATTGAAGTCTAATGTGAGGGCAGTTCCGTCATACAGTGAAGTGGGTGAGGTGGTGGGAAGGCCATGAGAGAAGAGAAGCTGTCTTTTGGACCATCCCTCCAGCAGGGGAGAGGGGCTAAGGGAAAGTTAGCAAAGAGTCTGATTTTGGGTGGGTGGGGAGCTCCACACACACTGGCATCTAGGATGATCAGGATTGGAGGGGAAAAATGGTTAGGCAGACCTTGGCCCTCTGAGCAATTTAGTGCAGTCTTCATCGCCAGCATCATTCGCTGGCAACCTCTGAAGAAGTCATCAGAAAGCTGAAGTGGTCCAGGCAGCCTGAAAGGTACCTATTTCTAAGAGGGTTTGTTTTGGATATTACAGAGCCCCCCTGTCTCACTGAGCTGGAGAGGATTCAGATCCAGGAAGCAGCAAAAAAGAAACCTGGTGAGTCAGAAGCTGTGTGGCAGCTGAGATGTCAGGTGCTGGTTACTCGTACAACTTGGGGCAGCAAGGCTTGGCATCACTAACAGCTTGAGGTCAATTCTGGTTGGGAAGCCCTCTCCCCCTTTGCATCCCTTGTGAAGCAGAGTTGAATGTGCACATGCCCTTTTCCTTCCCTGAAGTCAAGACATGATGCACCTCATGACAGCCATGTGTGACTCTGTGATGCAGACAGGGCTACTCCTGAGTTAGTAGGAGCCTTGTCTGATACTTTATCATGATGCATTTGAAGCTGTGATGCTCCTGCTTCATGACATCTTTCCCATATCATGACCCACCACTGTCACAGCCTCTTGAGAGGCAGGTCCAGGTGCAAGATGCTGGATTTCTGAGATAGTTGCTCAGTAACTCTTCTTGGAGTGGCCAAGTTCCCCTCTCCTTGTATCAAATGAAACAGTGGCAGTTGAACTGTATGTATCTTGTCCTTGCACTGGCCCCCAAGTCTCAGGAACATATTGCTGGTTTTTTAGGTGTTTTCATCCCTAGCTGTGATGAAGATGGATACTACCGGAAAATGCAGTGTGACCAAAGCAGTGGGGAGTGCTGGTGTGTCGACCAGCTTGGCATGGAGCTAACAGGGACACGGATACATGGAAACCCAGACTGCGGTAAGGAAACTAGAGGGAAGGGAAGAAAGGATTCATGACTCTCATGGTAATGAGTAAGCTTGCTTTACAAAGGATAAGGTTTCACTGCACCACTGCTTCAGGAAAAGGCAAGTGAATGTGACAGGAAAAAACAAAGAGCAAGATGCACCAAGAGTCTGGGCCTAGGTGTTCATCAAACTCCAGGTTTGTAGGCTTAGAATTCAGAAGACGGGGCTTCAGATTAATAGGTTTTTTAAGGACAGAAAGACCTTGTGATCATCTAGTCTGACATCCTGCCAAACACTGGCCACAGCACTTCACCCAGCAGTTTGTGCATCAGACCTAGCAGATCAGGAGTTACTAAATAAACATGGATCTCCTTTTAGTGTCTTCTGGGTAGTCAATTACCAGAAAAATACTGCCCTATTAGGCACAATTTGCCCAGTTAGAGGGCTGTACTCCATCTGGGAGAGCAGGGACATTGCAGGTAAAGATGGGTCTATGTTGGCAGGACTGACAAGGCTGAGAGCTAGAAGGGAAGGAAGGGAGCCCGAGGAAAGTGCTGAGAAAAGTGAGGTGCATTGCTAGCGTGGGGCAGGGCTGGGTTGGCCCTTACTCAGTGGTGCCATGCGTGGTTCTGGTCAGTATTATGAGAGCTCTAGATAAAAGCTGGCCGTTTCACTGTGGGAACCAGAGGGGATGGGGAGAGATTGGGTAGTGCCGTTACTGGAGGGTGAAATGTGTACAAGAGATGTTTAAGCGGGCCTGGTCCTGCTTCACACTGTTTGCTCCACTGCTTAAGTCCTGGGCAGAATATTGGGGGGTACACAGGCATGTTCCCAAGAGAGCCATTTCCCTAACTCACTCCCTTCTTATTGTAGATGACATAGTCGGGTTCTCGGGGGATTTTGGGAGCGGCGTTGGATGGGAGGATGAAGAAGAGAAAGAGACTGAGGAAGCTGGAGAGGAGGCTGAAGAAGAGGAGGGAGAAGCTGGCGAGGCAGATGATGGAGGCTACATCTGGTAGAAGCAGAGAAGAGCACAGTTTGGTCAGGATGCTGGCAGCAAGGCTGGGAGGCAGCGGTCAAGTTCAAGGAGAGGAGCAGCTTAATGAGATGATCAGGAAACACAGTTGAATGTAACTTACTATGGTAGAAAAAGTGTGTGTGCATGCATGTGTGTGTGGGTGTGTGTGAGAGGGAGCCTGTGTGTGTGGGTGTTGTGAATGCTGTTTTCAGTGCCACAGGGATGCCCAGTATGGCAGAACCTAGCATTGTAGCAAAGCAAAAGAATACAAGATGTCTGCAGTGCTGGCTTCGCTGGGGATTTTTTGTCACGTTTTTAGGTCTGTCTTGAGTATTACAACCCATAGACACAAACACATGCATGAAGTAATATGCACAAGCTTACACATACCCCCATGCAGCCATGTTAATACTGAATTAATACCTTGTTAGATAAATCCAGCTGCTGAAATGTTTCCCCAGACAGATATCTAGGCATGTCACGGGCATGTTCCCTAGTCTGCTTTACCATGGTTGGAATGACAAGCAGGAGTTAGCACAGCACTGTGCTTGCCCACAGTTTAGACGGAGGGTGGCATCACCAAGGTCCAACTGCAGGACTCTACCTAGTGTGGTAGAGAGGTGAGATGAAACTGGCATTTATTTTTGTCTGAGAGTCTTGCTGCTTCTGGGGCTTCAGCCTAGACAGGCTTATATTATGCACCTTGAAAACAGTGGTCTTATAACAGGTGAATAGCTTCTGTGGCTTGCTCAACTCCCCTTAGCATGAAAGGGAGAATCCTTTGGTAAACAGATTGCCAATGGATTCGTCCCCTGCCTGCTGATGACACAACTGAGAGGAACTGGGCATGCTCTCCAGTTTGTCAGGCATTTTGCTCATGGGAGAGATCAAGGACTTTTTAAATAATAGTGGCCTGGGGATGATTAAAAAAAACAAAGCATGAACAGCCTCCTAGCAAGAAGAACCCACGGAGAGCTGTTCTATCACCATGTCCTTTCTGGCGGCAGTGCAGGATTGTTCCCTGCAATCAGCTCACCAACAGCAAGATCATATCTCAGAATATAATAAAAACCAGGATTTCTTCAGATGAAATAATACTCCACACCTGTCCTGGATAGGACAAGCCTGAACCAGTGGCATCAGTGAAAAACAGCTCTGATCTCATCCTGTTCTATGAAAACTTGGCTGAAAGCCAACTCAGATTGGTAGCACTCAGAATTCATCACTATCTTAGAAATGTGCAAGTGGCTCCTGCATGTTTGTTTGATGAGGGAAGGAAGAGGGGCATTTTAGTGACAAGGACATCATGACACAGACTGTGATTTTGTCTTCGTAAAGTATTGGCTGAAGAATAGTTTCTCTGGGTGCTTTTGTGTAAGCTAAAGATATGTGGTGGGATTCAGTATATCCCTCAGCAAGCTGGAGTGATAGCCTTGATGACCTCCTAGGGCTTTTCAGACTTGAACTTCTTGTGATTTTTTTTTTTCACTCTTTGCAAAAATTGGCAACTGCTCGGGTCAGTAGAGATGGCCATAAAGCTGCCCATTGTGTTTTGTGAATCCGGTATATAATTCCAGCCCTACCTTACCTGTAAGCTTTGTGGGATGGATAATGGAAAGGAAGAAAAGATAAGGGACTAGTGATAGACTTCAGTTTTCTACTTTCCCTTTCCCTGGGAGCATCCTTCCTCCTCTTTCCCCCTTTCCCCCCTTATGCAGGAGAAGGGAAAGCAAAGTCTGAAAGCTCAGGGGCTTTGTGAGATTCAAGCCATTTTCCTTTCTTCTTCAGCAGACAAGCCCACTGACTGAGTATGGGACACAGAGGTAAGCAGAGTGCTGTTTTCCCACTCTATCTGGTCTTTTCTCCATCTGGAACACACCTATGCTGTCTTGTTTGGTCCTTGTGCCACCTAGTCTTAGGATTGGAATACGTTTGGTCATTTCTGAATATTGGGGTGGTCACTGAAGGATTGAGAAGCTTTGATGAAAAGCCAAATACTTTAGGCTTTAAGAAACCAAAACAGCCTGGTCAAGAACACTCTAAGGAAGAAGCAGTGCAGGGTGTGGAAAGCAGTCACTAAAAGGTGTGGGGAGACACCAGAAAATGACATTTCTGCAATGAAAGAGAAGGTATCTGTGTCCTCCTTTTCCTGTCACCTGTCCTCTGTCCATCTTCATGTCAGCCCCTCTGATCCCAAACTTGAGATCTGTTATTGGCTTCAAAAGATATAATTGGTTGGTTGGTTTAGTTTTATTTTTAATGGAAAAATTGGCAATGAGCTCATATACAGATAAGTAGCTCAGTTTTGTTCCTGTTAATTCTGTAAGGTTCACCAGTGACTTAACTCAAGGCTGGACTGGGCCCAAAGTGTACGTACATTTCAGTTTCCTAGAATAGTCCCAGCCGTCAAATGCTAATAATATTTGTGTGTGTCCTTATGGGCATGTGGATGAATGCATTGAAAGGTGGCGTATGTGTACATGTGCTGTGTAAATGGGTATATCCTAGGACAGTGTGAGTTTGTGTGTGTGAGCGCCACAGAAGTAGCCAGCTCGGCTTATACTGAGCATTCCAGAGCTTATGCAAAATTGAGCTTCCAGTAGAGCCTTTTAGGCTTAGTGTGCTACTGCATATTCTTAAAAAAAATTAAATAAAAAAGCTAAAGTCCCAGTAAACCTCAGTAACATGCTTGCAATGATGCCATATTAGACGACAATATTCTGTAGCCAGATGTGATGATAAATGCGCCTTGCTGTGTTGAACCTTCTACATTCCTTTCCTTCCAGTTTCCTGCTCTTTTTTTCTCTATTATATATACATGTAGATTGTGTAGCCCCCTTGATTCAGCTATTTCTCCTGATCTTCTGAGGAAAGAATACTTAGCTATGACTGAGGACACTGTACTGGAATGTGCCGCTCCTAAAGGGGCTGACCTTCTTAGTCAATGCGCTACTTGAACTGCTCTGTTTTTTCTTGGGGCTTGCTTTTGTATTGAGTTATTTCTTCCCCACCAGTCACCTCGCAGACCATGACGCATACTTGAACTTTCATTCCTAAAAAACCCATTGTTGTATTCCCTCCCCCGAATCCTAATTTGTCATTGCCTTTTGGGACTTTTCTCTTATTTTGTTTGCATCATGCCTGCCTATGTCTGATTCTGGATTTGTTTCTGGTTGTGCATGTTTAATAACCTGTAAATACGTTTTTCAGTCAATCAACAAAGTGATTTTTCTAACCCTGTAGGGCTTTAGCCGTGTAGAGCCTTCCTTCTTTGGAGAGGAAAAAGACTGTCTTTGAGTTCTGGATTAGTTACTAAGGCATAGGATTTCTTCAGTCTCGACCAGTTCCAATGTGGCAGTGGTTGGTCTAGGATTCAGTTTAGCAGTTGAATGATCCACTGGATGTGTTAGACCCTGTGAACAAGGCCCTGTGGCTTAAGAGTTCAGCTTCTTCATTATATAGAGAGAGAATCCAAAATGTAAACAGGGGAATGAACACTGGAGTCACTTGAAGTCCCTTGCTCTCCAGCTTGCCTGCCCCCCCCACCATGCTTTTCAGTGTTAAGATACGTTACCAACAGGAACTCCTTCCTTAGCATAACTTTTCCTGTTGGCAAATGGATCAATTTTGTGTGTTTTGAGTGTGTGTGCTGACTTGAAAACATAACAGTTCCCAGAGCAACCTCCCATGGTGTCATCTCCATATCAAGCAGCTCTTCCATCAGTACTGCCCACATATCTTCCATCAGCTGTGACACCATGTAATGGTGTCTCTGCATTGGTAGAGAAGTGATGAAGAAGGAAAAGCAATGTCTTGACAAACACTATGGGTTTTTGTTTGGTTGGGTTTTTTTTTTGGGGGGGGTATTGTTCAGAGTGAACTAATTTATTGCAGTATCAGTGACTGGTCCACTGATCTTGTGTGTCATGCTCTGTACTGCAGTGTGGAAGACCTGCTTTCCATTCCCTATCCTGGCTTCTTACCCCCTAAAATGGCAGGACCTGGGTAGGCCATGGAGGCAATATGTGCAGACTCCAAGAAAGGAGGAAGTGTCTTGAACTGTACAGCAGTGTCCCCTCTCAAATAATGTACATGGATTTGACAGATAGTCTTGTCTTGTTCATTTTGACCATGAGGCTGAGATGGGATCTGGAAGGATGCAGGTAGGCAAGCAGAATCCTACAGATCATCACCAGTTGGCTCAGCTGGTTGGCTGGCTTTAAGCAGTGGCTGATTGTTCTCTTTCTCCCTGTCTATTTTTGCATTCCAGCCTCATGTGGATCTTTCCCATACACTTCTCTCTCTAGTATGGACTGCCCTGTGTATACAAAATGTAGCTCCATGTATAAAACCGTTTACTAATCCCTTTCTCTCCTCCTCCAAACTGGATCTCAGCTCAGTGTTGATGGAGACTATGTATATTAAAAACACTAATAGATAAATATTTTGAAGGTGTTGAAAACGTTTTTGGTTTTGTTCTGTTTTTTATTTTTAAAATGATATGCTTACTGAAAGAAAACTAACAACAAGATTGAGAGGAACAAACTGCTTAGTCTGAAACACATTAAAATGTCTTATGTGCAATAACTTTGAATTTAGAGTTAAGAATCGTGTTCAAGTGCTTGGATTTCAGTTAGTATATTTAAGTGCTGAAACTGTATCTCTCTCTCAGTAATTTTAGATGTTAATCAAAAACAAGTGTTAGAATGTGCGTGTGCATTTGACGGGCACTAGAGCGCCAAGTGTTTCAGTCGTAGGGTCCCTTCTCCTAGTTGTTACACTCCCGTTCTGCTTCATTGAGGCCCCCTGGGAAAGCTGTTTCACATTGTCTGTCTCTGCCTAATACTTAACCTAAGGAAACAAGTACACACACACCAGAAAATTAAATACATTATTTTTAAAAAAAAAAGAAATAAAAATTTATAAACACTCATCTTTCCTGGGATGTTGATGCGTCTCTCTGCGTCAAGACTGGGGCTGGAGCATGGCTTCAGAGTGGTGGCAGAAGCCCTGCAGGGGAGACTTCTGCTGGAAAGGCAACATGCTGAGCTCCTGGGGAATGGAAGGGAGGGAGTGTCTTATGTTCCCCCTGCTCCAGCCACTTGGCAGAGGCCATTCTTGCTAGTGCTTCAGTGGTGTTTCTCAGGGTACATCTGCACAGCAACAGAAGAGAGAGAGAGAGAGAGAGAGAGAGAGAGAGAGAG